TAGTCCGTTGTGGCACTTTATCCACAGACGTATGTTAATTGCAGGAATAAAACTACGAGATGGTTCATTACAAATCTTTTTGATCCTGTTAACCGATCAGTCGGTATAGTTTTGGTTGTGTTATACAGTACGAAGCTAGTAATTCAGGTTGCTAGCAAGAATTAGTGTATGTATTAAGAATAAGCGCGTTATAAGCTACTAACTGTTGTGGATAGTTCTTCACGTTTCACTACTTTGCGATAACCAGCTATATCGCAAATCAAATAAAGAATGAAATCTGTTCACTCAGCGGATCATGAAGCTGTTGATTAATATTTAATGATTAAGAAGATCCTGAATGAAGCATGCACATCATATTGTAAGACATGGTTTGGACTGTCCTGCCATTCTTTATCACTTTTGAATTTTTTGCATGATCCGTAGAATATTACGGGGACAGGATCTTTCGAGTTGCCCGAATTCAGTATATGTGCCTTTTCAGCTGTGGCACAACGCTGAAGCTGGCTTGATCGCGTACAACTTGGTTCTTCTGAACAACGTAGCGTACAATGTAATCGAATTCGCCAAGTCACAAGTCGAATGGATGAGCGACAAGATCTTGCGTTCGTTCGAAGAAGGGCGCTACAATCCGTTTCAGTTTCGGCACGTGCAGCTATGCCACTCGTTGGCCGAGTTGGCAAGAATCCATTCTCCAAAGGTAATTCGACGAGCACGAGTGTGCGAACGTTTTGTGGTGATTCGCATCCAATTTGGTTTGTATAACTGTCGATGCTACTAGTTTATAGCTTAAACGGTGAAGTGTTTTGTGCTGTTACTCCTTCAGCCCTGGCGTATTTATTGAGTTCAGACAGTTCTTTTCCTCTCATGCCTAGGCTGCAGAATGAAAATAGCTCTTGTAACATCTAAACGTCAGCATAAGAAAATATCGAAACATACAACTTATTCAACAGCCACGCCCACATGTGTTCTTTAAAATGTGTTGTTCATTTCATTTATTCCGTCAGAAGCTATTAATGCGAAAGTTAAACCATCAAGTTGGCATAGCGCAGATCCACTGATATATTCAGAATTAAGTGTGACAAACGACTCTTAGGTGACTGTCTTCCAACAGAACTTGAAAATTGATTTGGAGATAGTAAGCGTACTTCCATACCAGTATTCATAAATAAATAAATTACGGAGTGTTACATTTTTGATTTTATTCTATTCAATTTCTGTAGTAAGCATGGGGAAACTGTTTTTATCTGAACCTTCTATTCTCCAAACAGAAGATGAAAACTCAGGGGAACCGAATGATACTCGAGGCAGGCATTTGCAGTCGAAACAAGGTTATATATGCTTCATGAATTTTTGGTATTTCAAAACCTGGAAATCCGGTTAACCAATTTTATATGTAAATGATATTTAAATATACGATGCTTCATTATTAGGAACCAGAAATATCACGTTTTATCTGCTGGACAGATACCTTATCTTAAATCATTGGAATTTTTGCATTGACGAAGAAATGAGTTAATTGAGTAAGCCTTGCTCTGCTGCTTTTCCTTCGGTTTGAAAGAAACAATGGTCTGGAAGGTAAACAGTGAAACTTTTTTATGGTTTTAGAATAAACTTTAATTTTTTGGAGCTTATTGAATATGGACTACGTGCTGTGAGCCTGTGATTGTGTTTGTGTTGCTCTCACCATGCAGGAGTAAATCGTTGTAACTCATTCTATAGCCACCTATTTACTACATTTTGATCAGCTTCTACTGTCTCGAAAAAGCATTGCAGTGTTGCAGTCGGTGCATGAGACCAAACGAAAGTGAGAACTGAGCATCAGTGAATTCTTGAAGATGACATAAAATCCGAAGTAATGCTGTAAGATTGATCGTCATGCATTTTATCATAGTGCCAACTAATGTGGACGGGTTGTTTAATAGAGACGGACTGGAATGGGTTATTCAGTTGAGAGAGAGAGAGAGAGAGAGACTCCTGGCTGATGACTTAGAAACGAGATCAGCGCTGTACCATAAGCTCTATTAAAAGTAAAGGTGCCATAAATGGCGTCCATCATGAAAGTGTGAAAGAGACCGACATTCCAGCAGTTAAAACGTTTCAGTTTTCTCAAGCGGAAAGTTGTCGCCATACGATTTAAGTAGAATACATGAGGTCCGTCTGTTCATGGGATGGGCAGAATGATCCACAGTTTCAGTCTATTCCTTTCGACTTCATGTTGTATATCGTTGTGGCGTGAATAATCTTCGATCTTTTCTTTCATATTTATCTGAATCAAAAAGATTAATTAGCAGTAAGCCAAAGAATACGCG